TAATTAATGTTTTAAAATAATTATTCATGTTAAAGGGGTACTGTAGTTCAACCAAAAGCAAAAGTGTTCCCATTTTCAAACCTTAATGGCTTTCTTTCTTCTGTTGAAGATATTTTAAAGAAAGCTGGAAACCTGTGACAATTGATTCTCATAGTTTCTCCTACTATGGAGGTGAACGTTTACAGGTTTCAGTTTTCTTCAAAATATCTTTAAAGTTCACCAGAAGAAATAAACGTTTGGAACCACTTAAGGGTGCTACTTTGCATAAGTATGTGTTGATATAAAACTGAGGTCCACTATTCTTAACTTTTTAGAAAATTTGTTTAATGAAAAATATATTTACCTGTGCTAACTGTGCTGACCACAGACAGACTCTGGTTAGATCTCTTAGGGTGCACAAGGTGACCCTCAGAGGAGGATTCTGGGATAGTCGCCTCATGTCTTTCAGATGACACCACAGTGTTTGCACTGACATCACTAATATTGTTGAATGAATCGTACATGTCCCAGACGGTGCACATGACAGCTGGATACAGTTTTTGACATGAAAAGTAACATTTAAATCACTTTGATATGACTTTTTCTTAAAGGAGATAAGATGTGGACTTTGTATAAAAATGATACCTTTGTCCACCATTGTAATACTATCACACTGGACCTCTTTTGTCTTTGATGCATCACTGAATGTTTGCATTGAGCGCTCCACATACTTATCATTTCCCTGTCTGTTTTTGCACAGTTCAGTGTAGGCATTGTTCCTTTCCCTTCAGAGTGAAAGAACAACAGACAGTCAGATGAGTTCTTAGTGGGCACATTCATGTCGAAATGACATTAAAAACAAGTCAAAAATGCAAATCAATTTGATGTCAATTGATTACTTTGATGACATCAAATAAACCTCATTAACATTGCTGTCAAACCCTCCATCAAAAATCAATTACAGAACCATATTGTAATTGATTTTTGATGTGCTTTTGACAGCTATTTGATATTGTTTTATTTTGGTGGTCAAAAAAGTAAAGTATGGACATCCAGGTTTTGACAACAAATCAAGTTGTATTTTTGACATGCTTTTTAATGTCGTTTTATGAAAAAATGACAAAAAGGTACTATGATAAAAGTGACGGAGTAAAAAGATAGGCAAAAATAAATAGGAAATATTTGGATTAAACAGCAATAAATTAAATGTCAACTGAGTGAAATGTCACCAACAGAAAAAGCAATCCTTAAAATGTCATTTTAATATTATACTCTTTAACATACTGTGTTGTTTCAAGTCATATTTAATTAAATTATGATCAAAATCAATTTTTTTATCAGAAATCGTAACCCAATGATTGAGTCTGTTCCATACATTACCCAAATTTGTGTTGAAACCATGATATAATCAAATTTGAATAAATGTGACTCACTTGACTGCCTCAGCATCCTCTGATTCTACCGACACAGACACTGCAGGAATGTCCAGAAGCCAGATGGTCTCTGTTTCACTCAGGTAACAATTTGCTGTACTGTCTAAAATATTCTCTCGGAGCTGCTCCTTCGGCTCCTCTCTGTGAGACTGAATATCTGTATGGAATCATAACGTAGTGGAATGTATTATATCAACATATAGCATAGTTTTTTATTTGATCAGGTATGAAATAAACACATGATTGAATGAGGAAATTTGGCAATGAAATTTAAACCTGAAATACTGTTGGACAAGTCTTGTTTCACTAGCAAGTCTTTAGTTTCATCAGTCACTGATTCTGCTGTCTGGCTTATTCTGGATGCTGAAGCGCTCCCAAAAAAAGACCTGGCATGACAGCAGAGATCACTTCTGTGTTACTATAGCAACAAAAGTGTTGTAATTCACTGTGGTACAGATTTCAGCACACTCAGGTTCTGCAAATTAGCAATATTTTAGCATTTCGCCTCATAATGATTACCTCGTAAAAGGTCCTGTAAGGCTTGCATTAGTGGTCTGAAAGGCTATCGAAGGAAATTCTGTCATGGTAGTCAAAGATGTATCAAGTGCAGTGAATACTTTTCCCTGTTTAGATTGTAGAACCCCAGGATCTGGGTTATATAATGGGTGAGGAGTGACATCCTGCCCATTTTCATCAACCACCTGGAAATACACAAAAATGTAACTTGTAGACATTGCTTTTTTCTATCTATCTATCTATCTATCTATCTATCTATCTATCTATCTATCTATCTATCTATCTATCTATCTATCTATCTATCTATCTATCTATCTATCTATCTATCTATCTATCTATCTATCTATCTATCTATCTATCCATCTATCCATCCATCCATCCATCCATCCATCCATCCATCCATCCAAATATCCATCCATCCATCCATCCATCTATCTATCTATCTATCTGTCACCGACTCGGTCCCAGTCACTCCCCTCGCTGGCCAGCAGAGGCCACCATCTCCGGACTTCTAAGCATTACATCATCCACTTACACTGATCCAGCACACCTGAACTGAATCCCGCTAATGACCCACGTACCCTTTATAAGCCGCACTCAAACACTCAGTCTTTGCGAAGTCTTGTTCAGCCCCGGCCAGCATTACTGAGCGGTCTATCCTGCCTGATCTCCTGTGTATTACTCCAACCCGTTTCTGACTCTGCTTTGCCTTCTGCCTGCCCACGACTTAAGCCTGTTACACTGACTCTGATACTCACTGCCTGCCCTCGACCCAAGCCTGTTACACGGACTCTGATACTCGCTGCCTGCCCTCGACCCAAGCCTGTTACACGGACAAGGAATCACGCCGCCTGCCTCTGACCCATGCCTGGTAAATCACTCTGTGTCTGTCAGCCGCCAGCCCTAAGACCTTTATTGCTGTTATTGTTGTATGTTCGCACCTTTGTGCGTGTTGATTGTTTGAGTGAAAGTGTGACTAATAAATACTGCATAATGGATCCCTCCGTGTCAGTCTCCCCGTTACACTATCTATCTCTCTATCTATTTATCTATCTATCTGTCTGTCTGTCCATCCATCCATCTATCCTTCAAACATACAGTATGTGGTAGTACAAAATGGCCACTGCTACTTGTAATGAGGATAAAATAATGAAACATTACAATTCCTTCATAAATCATAAACTTGTTAACAAGCTTTATTATCATTTTGAACTTGTTACTGTAACTACAGAATCAATTTTGGAATTCAAAACAAGAGAAAAAATAAACGAAAGACAGCTAAATCTGTAAAAGTACAATCATAAATAAATAAATTATATGTACACGTACAAACTGCAAAACCTAGTTGATAACCTGCAAAAGCATGTCACTTGCTCAAAATGTATAACTCGTTCATCAAAAGCAAGTATTCACTTCAATGAAAATGTCAGTGTCATCAAGATGAAAAGTCCTGACACCATTGCTTGTGAACAAGATTGTCAAATGGCTTTGACACGTTTTCATTATGTCAGTTTACTCTGTACATTTTTTCAATGCAAACGATGCAAGCAAACGAAAAGTCAGATTTTGGTGACGCGTTTTGAAAATGCACAAGACAGCACTATATACTATTTACACAGCCATTTGAAAACTACAGTAAAGTTAGAGATCACTGCATTTAGTGAGGTATCTGAGGACAAGACACTGAATTTGTATGTTTCACATTTTGACTGCATTTGCTCATTGCAGTTCTGATTTATTCACAGCATTGTGCAAAAGAATAAATGCCCCCTTATTTACAACAAACATAAACTTCCTTTGGGTAGAGCTATGCCCAACTGTAAACAATATTGCAGTTCATATTGGAACTGAACCTACAACACACTACAACACAACTCTGTAAATCATACATGAAATTGTTCAATTTAGAAGACATTTTCAGGAAAAAAAAAAGATTTAAATATTTTTTATAAAATTAGCTTGACAGATTTTGAGAACTAGTTCAACATTTTTGTATGTAATGACTCAAGTAATGAAATATGACTATTAGTTTTATATGGAATGACTATTCAGCATTCACAGCTTTAGTTACAGTTTTTCTCAGTCACTTTGATGCATTTTTCATAGCACTATTTACATTTGGACAACAGTTAATGCATTTCTCAAAACAGTTAGTAATTTGTGCACATCATAGTAGCAGTTTCTCATTCCTTCCAACAAATTGCAAATGCTTTAGGACATGCATCAGGTGCTTAACTCGTTGCTTTTTATAACATTATCATTTGCTTGTCATGTCAGTCAAAATTAACTAAACTTGTGATTGCTGAATAGTCATTCCATATACAACTAATCGTTTTCATTTCATTACTTGAGTCGGCATAAATAATAAAATGTCCATTACCATTGCAGTGTGTTTTGGAGTTTGGGCTGAGATCTTATCCACAACCTTACTGTCACCTGTAGAACCAAAGCTCTTCCCGCTGAATAAAGGGTTGATGCTCTTTGTGGTGCTTTGATTCGGACGAAATACACCAGATGACACATTTAGTGTTTTGGATGACCTGAAAAAAAAAAGAAAACCTGCTTCAGTCTATGAGAGAATGTAAACACACAAATTCAAGTAAACATGCTGCATTAACAATTTAAAAATGGTAAAACTTTACAAACAGTTTAAGCAGTAAAACATGAAGTGAAACCCTAGGACACCACTTAAAATCTCATGTTGAAAACATAAACTAGGTAAGCTAATTTACTTGTGACATGCTGTTAAACCACAATTAATCACATCGTCCAAGTTGTATAAACAGTTGCACTGTATAAACTTACTTGGCGACCTTCAGAGTGCGTCTCTTCTGTGTGACTGTTGTGTTAGACATGTTTTAGACTTTTAAAAGCGGTAAGGACAGATGGGTGGATGGCTAGAAGTTATGCAGGACAAGTCGGTAATGGTGTTTCATCTTGTTTGAAATAACCATAGAAACAGACTCCTCCTGCTGGTTAAATGTAGTGTGCGCTTCAACTTCCATTCAGCGGGTGGCGGTGTGGCGCGAAAACACCCTGCATGATTCACCAGAAGAAAAAGGTCATCGTTCTGTCACATGCGACGTTTTAGTTGTGTTTTATTGATGTACAAAATCATAAGCGCCCAAACAATGATCTTGGTTTGATCTGACGGTATTTGTGTAAAATATACGCTGGAAACAAAACATAACTTACGGTAAGTTACGTTTCACGTTTTATTCTTCTGTGTTATAAATTGCCAACCGGTTAGCTTCATGACAGCAGGTAAATCAGAGTAGATTTATCTAACGTTAATTGTGAAGCCTAGCTGGTTGTTTGAATTAAATTATCTTGTTGTTTGCCATCCGATGTGTATCAAGGAAAGTCATAGAGTTGATTTTATGTTAATATTCATTTATAAAGTTATATTAAAAGTTGCATAGTACATGGGTGATTTATTCATTCTAAGTGTAGATCTCATCCTTACATTGTATTAGAACCATAATAGCCTTTCTTTCCAACTCAGAGACCCACTGTAAAATAATGTTCAAAGCAAGTAAAATACAAAAAGATGGTTAAAAATATACATTCTACATTTTAGAGTGTCATAGCAATAAGTTAGCTCAAAATGCATACTTTGTGCCAACATATAATATATGATGATTTATAATAACTGGTTTATTACATACACGAGAAGTTTATAAAAAGTGTATGCTTTAATGTCTCAAATATATTTTGTCAAAAAAAATTAATTTTATCAAATACTCATGCAGGATTTTTCTGTTTTTATATTATTCTGTAAATCATAACACAAACATGATAGTCATTGTATTTGCTCATAAAGTATAACAAAATTTAAACAAGCAAATAATAATAATTAGTTTTTTTTTCAATATTACATAAATTTACTGTCATACCATAGACCTTTTTTGCATTAGTTAGTCAAATAAAAATCAGGTAAATATTGCAAGTCTTTGAAACTTCCATTCAGTGTAAAAGTGCTGCTAAGCATTAAATAGGTATGGTTATGCAGGCAGTCTGTTTCTGTGAGGAAAAAAAAGTTGGTGCACCTTTGTTTATGCTGTTTTTTATTCCTTTAGAATAATTGTCAAAAATGGAGTCAGTTATGCATCACTGCCATCGCAAGCTCCCAACCCTCCTGTCCAGAACTCTCTTTAAAACATTAAAGAGAAGACACCTCAACCTCACCATCCACACTGTTTCTGCCTCTTCCAAACCAGTCATCCCAACACCGCTCGTGTCTCGCCTCTTCCAGCCATCAAACCTCCGGGAAGGTCAGGATGGAGGAGACCTGACATGTCGGAGTCAGAGACTGATGATGCAGACTGGACTGATCCATCCGTCAAACCCCGGCTGCTTCTATTACTTGCCTGTGGCTCTGAGGTCCTTGGAGAAGCTGGTCCGGCTCATTGATGAGGAGATGCATGCGATCGGTGGGCAAAAAGTGGACATGCCAGCGCTCTGCAGTGCAGAACTGTGGAAGAAAAGTGGTCGCTGGGAGCTCATGGGAAAAGAGATGTTCAGACTGCTGGATCGGCACAATGGGGAATACTGTCTCGGACCGACTCACGAAGAAGCAGTCACTGAGCTTTTTGCCTCCCAGACCACCATGTCTTACAAGAAGCTGCCACTTCTGCTTTACCAGGTATGAAAGAAAAAATTCTAGGGGTACTTCACGCAAAAATAAAAATTCTGTCATCTTTTACTTGTTCCAAACTGTTTGAATTTCTTTTTTCCATTAAACACAAAATAAGATATTTTGAAGAAAGCTGGACACCTGTAACCATTGACTTCAACAGTGTTTTTTACATGAATGTCAGTTTTCAGCTTTCTTCAAAATATCTTCTTTTGTTATCAACAGAAGTAAGAATCTCATAAAGGTGAGTTACCATTTTAGGATGAACTATGCTTTTAAGATACAGTCATCATTTACTCTGTCTCCAGTCATTCACTCAGTTCTGTTTTTTATGCCCTTCACTTGCTAACTTCCATTCATGTCTTTCAAATTTATCTATCTCATTAGCTATGTTTCCATCCAGGAAATGTGAATTAAATTTATGCGCAAAACAGGAATATTGCATAAAAGATGTGCGAATAAAGCAGTGTTTCCATCCAACCAGTCAAAGAGAACATAATCATCACTTCCTGATTAACTGACGCCAAATATCAACAGTAAAAACGTAATTTGCTGCGGTAGAAGAAGCTGCATAAAGCTTTTTTTATTATTTAATAAATTACTTTCACCTCAGTAGACCATGCCGACACACAATGAACGCCTGGTGATGTTCGAAGCCATGAAACGCAGACAATCTTGACAGTTATCAATAATATAAAAACACTAATACTGAAATAGTCAAGGCATTTTAAGGCATTTTTTAATAGTTAATGACCAAACCAACATTATAGATTTTTTACAGTGTGCTCTGCCTGCTAGTTTGTCCATTCACACATTTTTATCATCACATGATCTATTTTAACACAAACACATGACCTTTTTTAATGCGCATACTTGAATTTCTTCAGTAAAAAGGTTTCCATCATAGTTTATGTGCATCTTTTCTTACCAAATTAATAGTTTATCCTACTCACTTATGCGCATACAATTTTATGTGCATTTCCAAAATGTATGCGCATCTTGGTGTTTGCATGAACCTTTTTTATGCTCATATCCAAAATGCCTATAAAAATAGGTGGATGGAAACGTAGCTTTTGAGAACATCTGAATGGGTTTAAATTGAATGCTCTAAACCTTTGGGCACTCGAGAACCACACTGTTGTGACATCACAATTGAGGTGGGATTCCTCCGAGTGGAAGTAGCGAGTGTGTACCTAAAAGTGTAGAGGGACCCATCCTTAGACTTTGAATTAATACATTTTTTAATAATGCTTTTTTATGAATCCTAAGAGGTATCTTTCCTTCCATTTAAAAGTCCAAGCAACCAATAATGTAAAAGAGATCATTTTATTAGATAATGGTTACAGTTTGGTAAATGAGAAAGGTGCATGTAATGCACAAGAAGCAAAGAGATTGTTTTTTGCATGTGATGCATATACCAACTGATAATGCCATGCTTAATGATCTCTTTGTACTTGTGTTAATGTGTGACTAAATTAAATCAGTGTTGTCTGTTCACAAACCGAAATAATTTTGTATTAAATAATTAAATATTATTAATTTACAAACGCACCTTTAAAGTCTGTTTGGTTACCACCTGTCTGTAATGACAGACATTTCTTTGAAAAACAGTCTTATTATTTCATTGAAAATTATTTATTGAGTATTTCAAAAATAAATCAAATTCTAAAGGATAGGAATGACATTAGGGCTAAATTTTGTTTCATATTGCTTTATGGGGGTTTTAATAATAATATACTTATTTTTCTCTTTTTTTCTGCCATTTAATGGTCCAACTAAAACAATTTTGTAATCAAATGTTTAGTCAGCTGTCTATATAAATACACAACATGCTTATGTCTTACAGGTAACACGCAAATTCCGTGATGAGCAGAAGCCAAAATTTGGACTCTTACGTGGTCGGGAATTTTACATGAAAGACATGTATTCATTTGACATTAATGAGGAGGCAGCTCTCCACACATACAACTCTGTGTGCCAAGCGTATGGACGCATATTCGACCGACTGCACTTAAAGTGGGTGCAGGTCCAGGCTGACACTGGAAACATAGGAGGCACACTTTCCCATGAGTTTCAGCTGCCAGCAGACATTGGCGAAGACAAGTTACTTGTTTGTGGAAACTGCGGCTTCTCTGCCAACATTGAGACCCTGGAACCAGGACAGGCCGAGTGCTCGCAGTGTCAAACAGGCAAACTGACTGAATCCAGAGGCATTGAAGTGGGCCACACTTTTTACCTCGGCACTAAATATTCACAGGCGTTTAAAGCACTTTTTGTTAATGCATCCAATGTGCCTGCGGTGGCAGAGATGGGATGTTTTGGACTTGGTGTCACTCGAATACTAGCAGCTTCTATAGAGGTGATGTCCACAGAGGATGCCATTCGCTGGCCTGGATTGATAGCTCCCTATCAAGTGTGTGTCCTGCCACCTAAAAAGGGAAGTAAAGCACATGAAGCCACACTGAAGGCTGAGGAACTGGCTCAAAGCTTGGGAAATAGTCTTCCAAATTTGAAAGGTGAGGTGGTACTGGATGACAGGACTCAAATGACCATTGGGAAACGACTGAAGGATGCTAAAATTCTGGGGTATCCATTTGTGGTGGTGGTGGGCCAGACGGCTCTAGATGATCTGGCCAGCTTTGAGGTGGTTTGTCAGCAAAGTGGAGAGACTCTCTTTTTGAGTAAAGATGGGCTTGTTGATCTTTTAAGTACGGTTGAAACTATCTAATATATGTGTACATTTATCAGGCTAGGTGATGGTGAAGAGAAAAAGAGTGTGATGTATAAATATTATAAGTGTTATAACAAGAAAATGTTGATTATTAAAGTGGTCTGTTTGTAACAATTTTGTAATGTGTTCTTGCTTCTGTAGAGCAATTAAGATTCATAGTGGAATTTATTGTTATTTAAAGCACTGGTAAGTGATAAAAGAAAAAAGGCCATGAAGACTATGAACAATGGCAATGATTGCCCAAGATTGTCAGTGCAAACTTGCTTTAAAAAAAACCTGCCCGAAAACCTGATAGATGATGTAATTTGCTCATTAGCATAATCATAACTTTGTCTAATATTTGTCATATATTATTGTTTCTAAAGGAAAATTAAAGCTTTTTACCTGCAGGGAGGACATTGCTAGATATTATATTTTTAATAAGGAACTAAAGGTTATCTAAAAAAGCTTAAAAAAATTATAATGATAATAAAAAATAAAATAAAAAAACATGATTCAAAAAATGCGACTGAAATGGTAAGATTCACCAAAAATATTTATGCCTATTTTTTATTTTTTATTTTTTATTTATTTCTGTAGGAAACATGCAACATTTAATCTTCATTCATTCATTTTCATTTTGGTTTAGTCCCTTTATTCATCAGGAGTTGCCACATCGGAGTGAACCAACTTATAATCAGTGTGAGTTTAATATAATCTGCATAAAACTTGGTGTGTTCTCTTTTACAGGTGTGCTTCTTATTAATATAATTTAAAAAAATAATAATTAGTTGGCTCTGATTTTGATAGCCAGAAAATAGGTGAATACATGTTTATTTAAATTAATATTTGATGCGGTAAAACCACATCAGTTTCTATTATTCAGTTACTATATCAGGGTTTCTATAATTTAAATATTTAATTGTCAGTTCCCACAAATTTTCAAAAAGTTTAATTTTTTAAACTTCTTTTCTGACAGACATTCTTTTTTCTTTAATCATTTATTACTGTTTAAATTATTAAAGCTTAACTATCAGCAATTAATTAGGGACACTCAAAATCAAGAAAAATGCTAATTTATTTATTAATGCTTATTTATTTCAATTTTGTTACTGTATTGCTTTTCAGTTTTTGACTCCATACCAGCAGGTGGCGGTAACGCGTTATTGACGTGTGGAGAGCAGCAGAGAAACAGATGTTTGCTGAGAGCATGTGGATCTTTGCTACGGTTTGTACAGTTTTATCCTATTTTACGTTTAATGTTTAGTTCCTCTACAATTGCGATCTGAACGCGGTGACGTAGTGAGATACGTCAAGAACTACCTGGGATACACTTCAGAATAAATTTAAGGAGATAACATGGCTGCACCAACGCAAGGGGAAGACAGCGACGATGGCATGGACGAATTTATGGAGAAGTTTAAAACACAGAAATACCATAATGCGTTCAACGAAAGCAACTGGGAGGAGGTAAGACTTGCTGATTAGTTATAACAACACACTGACATTATCGTGTCATAATCGGTGAATATATTTTGACGTTAACGTGGTTAAAGCAGTAACATTGTATTTTATTATCAAATAGTCATGTATCCGATGTGTAAATAACCTTCTTAAATATTGCAGGAGTTTGAAAAAGTTCCCATGTTCATGAAGACAGCGCCAGAAAACATTGACCCAGAGAAACACCCTGATCTCGCCTGTATCCAGCATATTATCCACGATGATGACAGAACTCCTGAAGGTAACTGGAGCTTCTTCTGTTTTCCAATATTAATGAGTTCTTTATGGAAGAAATTACATGTCATGGTAGTTGACAAATAGGGATTTTTTTTTTTAATTAAAACCCTATTTTTGAAGATTAAATAGTTATGTTGTCTGTTTAAGAAAACTGTGGTCACAAACTCTTATCAGTTCTTTTAGTTTTTTTTTTTTTTCTTTACTGTTCTGTAAATAATTTCTGTAGGGGGACATAGCATAGTAAAGAAAAATAGCTCTTAATAATAATATACAAATAGTGTGAGAGTGATTTAACTTCACTGTTGGATACTTCTCTTCATATTGTGCACAGGACAACAAAATTAATTTTATAGTCATTCCAAAAATTCTGAGGCAAAAACTTTATGGGCTTTACTGGTGGCTTCACACATGACATTGAATAGGGTGATTCAACTAATTAAAGTTTTCTGTGTATTTACCTGATTTAAAATTCAGGTACAAATACAGCATTCAGTGTCACACTAGAGGATGTGAATTTCAGTAACAGAATGTATGTTTTTAGAATTATATGGAAGAAAAAAAATATTGTCATTTACAAAAATAACCACTTGAAAAATATAAATATAATATATATTATTTTATTTTATACAATATAATTGAACCTTTTCATTTATTCTAGAGAAAGCCAGAAGTCTCAAGGATGAGGGGAATGAATACTTCAAGGAGAAGAAGTACAAGAAAGCTGTTGTTTCCTACACAGAAGGATTGAAAACGAGCTGTGTGAATCCTGAACTCAATGCCGTTTTGTACACCAACCGTGCAGCTGCACATTTCCATTTAGGTAAAGTCAGTTTTCCCCTCACACATTTTGTATTATGTAGAATAATTTAGTTTTTCCTTCTGGTTTAATAACCTGATTCCTTTAGGAAATATGCGTTCGGCTTTAAATGATGCCACAGCTGCAAAAAAATTGAAGCCAGACCACAATAAAGCCATTATAAGAGGTGAGTTGTGTATATTTGTTTGTTTCAAGAAGAAAATAGCAAGTAGTTGTTTCTGATATTACATTATTTTGTGTAAAGAAAAAATGTGAATGTGCGAAGAGTCACTAAATCCAGCAGATAAGGTCTCTAGTAGTTTTCATCGTAAGTGGTTACCAAATTTCAAATGAGTGTGATCAGTAAATATACTCCACATGAAAAACATCTCAGGTTAAATGTTGTAAGATGAGTTTTAGTTTACTTTTTGTGAGAGAGAGTTGTACCATTTTGCTCACATGCAAAGGTAGTTCCTTGTGTTTTTTCCTTGCCTTTTTATTCACCTTATTCTCCACCTACTAGCCGGCGCAGCCATTTGAATCTTTTTTTGCTCAAGACTTCCAGTCTCATTCACTTCCATTCATTTTTAGACATTAAAAACAGCTCGTTTGGCTGCTTGATGTTGCAAACTGATTTTTTCTTAATATATTAATCTATTTTATCTGTATATTAGTCTTGCATATACTTGTTTGTTGAGCAAGTAGTTTGACAATTTTTTGCCGTTTTTTTTTATTAATTTCTCCTATTTGCATCTCAATCGGACGTTCTAAAACAATCACAAAAACTAGCACACTTCCACCACTTGCTTTTATAGTTTTGAGTGCATTCTATTATATAGAATCTTGTTGTTTATCATGTATTATTTCAAAAATGATTATCAATGCATTATTTTGTGTAAAAAAATAAATAATGCACACAAAGTGTATAATGTTTATCTATCATTTTGACATGTTTTTGTATGTAGGAGCACAGTGCTTGCTGGAGCTGCGTAATTACGCTGGAGCGTTACAGTGGTGTGATGAAGGTCTAAAGTTGTTTCCCACTGACAAGAAACTACAGGAGCTGAGAGCCACAGCTGATAAACAGAAGGTAGAAATTTAAAGGGATAGTTCAAAATGAAAACTGTCTTTTACTCAGTCATTAGAGTTTCTTTATGTTGTTGAACACAAAATATGTTTAAAGGGATAGTATTTCTTTTAAAGGGATAGTTTATAAAAAGAATCATTTCAGTTTGATCAAATTTACTCACTCGCAGGGATGTGATGACATTTTTTAAAAAAAGGGTTACGATTTGTCGTGGCCGAGTGTTAAACATCCATGCTTTATTCATTATTTTGTTGCCTTGTAATATAATTTAATATACATTACTTCATTGTCTGATTATGTAATAAAACAGGTGAATAACTTGTTTAATCCAGATATTTTAAACAAACTTTTTGAAAATTAAAATGAGGGAAAAAAGGACTTCTGTTTGCTAAGGTATAAATGATAATAATGTCGAAAAATAATAATAAGAGAAACTATGAATCCTTTTCACAAGATTTAACGTACTTAATAGTCATCATAATTTAAAGTCCTTGACAGTTTTTTTTATATTTTTATAAAAAAAATGTATGAACATTTGCATATGCATTTATGTATATATTATATCATCCTTGCGTCAAATTACAAAAAAATAATTAGTGCTTATGCGAGGTGTTTCTAATGCAGTGTGTATGGTGCTGAGAGTAAATTTGACATTATTCTCTCCTCTGGCTGTCATCATCAGTCTCACACTATTTTCCTCTTTTTCTAAAAGTCCTAAAACACTATTGTGGAATTTTCCATTTATTATTACAGCAAATAGGATTGTAAAAAAAAATTTTTGTTGTATTCCCGGATTTAAGTTTACCAAATGCCCCTGAGAAACTCGGAAATGTGAAAAGGGTTAATCAAACTGTCCAAGAAGCTTAATAAGACCTCAATGTATTGGCAGGAGCCACATGTATTAAATGTCTGTGTATTTAATTTTTTGATCTTCAAATTACCAGTAAACTTTAACTTAAATTGTTAAAATCACTAAGGACCACAGTTTCAGCAAAAACAAAACAAAACCTAATTAATCTTCTACTGAATTAAGTCAACTACATTATGGATATCTTTACAGTGAGCAATTCAAATAACTCTTTCTATCTATTGTTTGTTTTTGTCTTTTTTTTTAAGTCAGTGCTTCATTGGATTTCCAATCAACAATAGGCAAGATATAGAATTTATTATGCATGAGTGATGAAACTAAATTAATATGTAGTTGCTCTTTAATTATAGTTTATTATTATTACATTACACAAAATCATTGCAATGAATCGGTTAATTAACTTTTTATTATCATTTTTGTATAAATTGTCTACTTTTTACCTTTCATGAAACGAATGAGTGCGCAATTTTGATGTTTTTGAAAGGGTCTTCTATGCTCACAAGGGCAACATTTGATCAAAAATACAGTAATATTGTAAGTTATTATTACAGTTATAATAATTGTTTTCTGTTATAATGTATATTTGAATGTATGTTGTAATGTGTATTGTAATGGATATTAAAAATATAGTTGATTGCATTAATGGCAGAGCTATATTTTCTGCAGCCATTGTTTGAAGGGATTGTTCACGCCAAAAGTGTACATTTCCTGACCATTTACTCAGTCAAATGGTTCTAAACGTTTATTTTTCACTTCTTCCTTCTGTTGAACACAAATCAAGATATTCTGAAGAGTGTTGGGGGAAAAGCAGCCAGTGACATCCTGAAATACTAAGTCAATGCCTGTTTTTCCCAAAATTGTTCAGAATATATTTAGTGTTCTTCATGTACAATCTTCAGTGTTACATGATCATGTAGAAATCATTCAAATATGAAAATTAGGTGCTTATTGTTATTAATAAATTACTAGTTCATAGTGGATAAAATATTAATAATGGTTCTAGCTATCATAATTGTTATATTTTTATTTCTTGAGCATTAAATCAAAATATTAACAATTCCGACTCACATTTTGATATATTATAATGCAGAGCTGCCCAAGCTAGGGCCCCCGGCCAAAGTTGGCCCATGGTAAACTTCGATTTAATTTGGCCCACTATCTTACAGTATATGAGAAGAGAGCGAAATTGATGAAAAGGGTTGGAGCGAATGCTTTTAACAGAGATCAGAATTTCTAATTTAACATAACCTTTTTTGTTTGTTTTATTGCTCAGCTACAAAAAAAACTGAAATTAAATACTTTAATTACATATTTGAAAATAAATCAGATTTTTTTGTTTAAAATATAAAAATACTGTCACTTGTCAGATAGCGGACAGCGCAAAAGACATCGGCGAGCAAATCAAGACCATGACAGGGGCAGGAGGACTAGTGTATCTACATTCTGTTATAAATGGGATTGTTTTTTAAACTTTAAGTCCATCATAAAAATAAAAAATATATATACTCCATTAGTTAATACAAAGCAATGTTTTCTAGTTATCTTTATATATTAAATAAATTATGAAATCACCAATGGCAGCTTTAATGGAATTGTGTTTGATACATTTACCTTCGGTCCACCACACTCAATCAAGTTTGATTTCATAAAAAAAAGTTTGGGCACCCTCGTTCTAACGTTTAATTTATTGTTATTTTAGAGAGAAGCTGACAGAGATGCCAGGAAGGCGAAGGTTAAAGCGAAGAAGCAGCAGAATGAGAAAGAAGCATTGTTAGCTGCCATTAAGGTACCACAGATATTAAATTCAATAAAAACAAATATTCAATAAACAACAGTATAAATGAGAGAACTTTTTAATGACTGTTTCTTCTCAGGAGCGAGGAATTAAACTCCTGAAGACAGAAAAGCCTCCTCACAGGGCTTCAGACAGCGAGGATGAGGATAGAGATGAAGACACCTCTAGGGCTCTGGCTGATCTTCAGCTTGATGGAATCAGCTCACAGGAGGCAACAGGCGCTCGGGTTTATATGGATGAACAGGGTGTCCTTCACTGGCCAGTGATGTTCCTTTATCCTGAGCACAGCCAGACAGACTTCATTTCTGCTTTCTCAGAGAACGCCAGGTTTGTTGCAAAGTTGAAACACGCTATTTTGATGTGTATCCTTTCTGGAGATACTTATTTTGTGGTGTTCAGCTTCATAGATCATTTGGCGGTGATGTTTGGTGAAGAGCTTCCTCCCTGGGATATAGACCAAAAATATCAGCCACAGAATCTGCAGGTTGGTACACAGAGATCCACTGGACTATTTTTTTTTTTAGAATTATTTTTCTCAAAGAATATCAGTTAGTTGTGATGGCTATTTTTTAAACTTTATTCATACACATCTACAGCTTCACAATCATTCTCTTTTTTTTTCAGATGTTCTTTGAAGATCCTGAAAAAGGAAACCTTTATCAAGTTGATCTTCAAGAGTCACTTCTTAGAGTTCTACAGCACCAAAGGTATTTCAGAAGAGTTTCTTCTTCTTTTTTTTTCCATTTGAATTGGTCTTTAATGTTTGCATCTCTGTTTTGTTCTTTCCAGGTGCTCGGTGAAGGCAGGAACTCCTAGTTTCATTGTGCTGGTATCAGAATCTCCGTTTTCTAGGCAGTTCTTATCAGGAAAAAAGGTGCAGAGATTAAAATTATTGAAATGATCTGGAATGACCTTAAAAGTCTTTAAATGCCTTTGTCATTATTCAACCTACTACTATAAAAAAACATTGCTGCTCTCACACCTCTTAAGAAAACTCCCCCTTGAACTTTGAGGTGCAGTTCTTCTCCTCCATATCAGTGATTTATTCTTATTAAAAATGTTCCACCAATTTTCTATTACTGTAATGTCAACCGAATCACTGATTGAGATCAGCTAAACTTTGCAGTACTTTTGATGGATGACAATGCATGGCAGTTTTTTTTTTTTCAACATGTTAGTATTTTACTGAAGTATTTACCATTTTTACTATGGCACTCTGGATTTACAGCAATAGCCCACCACCGAAAAAAAAGACATTTCTGTCATCATTAATCCTACAAACTTTGCTTTGTAGAACAAAAAGAAAGATTTTTTAAGATTGTTAACTTTTTGTTAGTTCTACAGAAGGCTTACAGTTTTGAAATATTGTAAAGGTAAACTATCATAAAATTTCCACCAAATTATCATGTTTTTGGGTGGAGATTTTTTTTGTTGCTACATTTCTTCTTATGGTCACTTGTTAGACCTAATTATGTTAAAAGCAACACATTTTTACACTGTGATATAGTTTTCATGCAATTTCAATAAACCATTTGCACCCGATCCAAAAATCTGAGAGCACTAGTGGATTCTTTATATTTTAAGGACTTTTTTTATTACAAACAATATTATTAGCATAAATTAAGCATAATTAACGTCTCTTCAAAACTTAATTTTCTTTAAAAACACCAGGAGAATATGATGTTGGTGTAAAACATGATATAATTCAATGTTCCAAAGAGAAATAGTTCCTAAGGGAAAAGTCCCTACACTCAAAAAATAACTCCATGGATGGTCAGTTTAATTGAGGGCAGCATTTCCTTCTAATCAATTTTTGTGGCAAAAATAGTTTACACAATTAAATGCAATTGAGTTGGTCCAACATTATTTTATCAAATAAAAGTTTATATACATTTGTATTTTTACAGTATTTAACTTAAACTCAAAGGTCTGATAATATCATACATACATGTGATAATATCATACTATAATGTGTCGTACATTCTGAAATCTGTAAATTAAATTAAATTAAATAATTAAATAAAATTGAAAGTTCTAAATTATCATAAATGAACTAAAAGCCATTTTAAGCATATTTTATGAGTTACATATACAGTTAATTGAATCTCAGAACTGCATTTATGCTAATGAAGCTACTAATACCCAAAGCATGGGTGCTTCTGCAAGGTGGTAATTTCAAAACTCAAAGCATTACATGAACATTTTATAAATCTTCAAACTAAAGTAAAGATTAAACTCTGACAAGTCTTTCTATTAACTTTAAACAACTAAGATTACTTCTATTGTCAACATTTCTCTTTCTCAATTCAATCCCATGCAAAGCATGCTCCCCTAATCAGATATCTCAACCAACACAATTCTTTCATGTTGTTCAATGTTATAATGCTTAAGTTAACTTAATGATTTACAAATTTTAGTGGACTCAACATCAAACAAATAAATTGGCCACAAAAATGACAAAAATTGTGTTGTTTCAGCTCATTTTAAACAGGTAGTCTGAACATACTGCAGTAATCACTTTTTTGAGTGTAAGCTTTCAGTGGTTTTAACCCCATAGCAAATTTGTAAGTTTTAGTTTAACAGGCTCTTCATGCTTTCTGGCCTGTTGCTGGAGGAAAAGCCAAAAAGACAACATTCCAAAGTGACTTTTACAACTTTAAAACCACAGTTATACGGTTAAAACCATTTTGTCCATCACTCAGCATTACCAAAACTGAATACCTCCAGTTTGAAATGGATAGTTACATTATTGTTAATCCTCGTCTTAATGTGCATACCACCTAAGCACATAAAACAATTTCCCGAGAGAATATTAAATAGTCAACTTTCCATAGATCCTTTCAAATAGAAATAGATCTTCCCAGTGAATACTTTTTATCTTGTGGCTGTACACTCCTCAGCAACTTTCGAACCACCTCCAATCTTCCCTTCTTCACCAAATCTTTTGAGAGCTCCGTCACCTCATCTGTGTGTGATCGACAGAGTACCTTCAACTCAGTCTGGACTACAGCAGATCCATATCGCTCTTCCGCCTGCTTTAAACATTCCTCTAACTGGATTATAGCATGACCCGTGTCTCTCCCGCTCTGGGTGAAGCTCATGAGAATAGCCTGCAGTAGGCAGCGCAGGATCGCTGTATCTTGAACGCCGTGAGGCTCCAGTTCAAGTGCTTTCCTGAAACAGTCAATGGCGTTCTGCTCCTCTCCTTTCAGCAGTAGGCAGCGACCTCTCAGAAGCTGTAGTTTAGAGATTGTAGAGCCCAGAGGACACTGTAGAGCTTTAGCTAGACTGACCAGGGCCTGGTTTATGGCCATTTCATCGACCAACAGGCTCTCCTGCAGAGCATCCACACCCATGTAGTAGTAAATCTGGGAGCAGGAGAGAGGTACATTAATTATGCTGTTAACTTTAGTTGCTTTATAGGTAGTTATTCATTCTGATTTCATCACTATACCTGACCCATCTCCAAATGAGTCCTCAAACAGGGTCGAACAGCCTGAACACGTTCCAGGTCTGCACGGGCTGCTTTCAGAATCTGACGGTCAGGAATGCTACCTAGGCCACATTTTGCTTTGTCGAGATCCTTTGCATAATTGGTGACACTAAGCTGGAGAAAAAGCAGTTAGGTCAGTTAAAAGTGTCAGAACAAGAATGGACATCTTCATATATTGTGGATTTAAAAAGTATTTTAAGGAAAGCAATAAAAGGCATCATTCTGCCTCTGGTAATAAAACAGTAATCATTTTCTGGTCATTAGTCAATAATGTCCATATTTAAATGATGAACTACACATATACAAATGCATGGACAGCCCAAGGGGACATGGTGATAGGATAGAAATGACACAGGAGGAAATGTGTCAATGCTTTTGCTAAAGAGATACATTCTGCCAAGACATTGTGCACTCTCATAAATCATTTGCATTCTCACAAGAAACTTTGCATTCTCTTTAAAAAACAGGCCTGTTGTGTTCAACCACAAACCATGAGTTCTTTCACCAAAGTACATCGATTGCTTTGGGTAATAAATAGGTTCTCTCTGAAAAGTATTGTTCCCAAAGAAGCTTCTTTTTCTCACATACTGTAGGTAAGCATGTTGCATTTACCTAAAAAAACGATGTGATCTCTCTTAAATGTAGTCTTAGTGTTTTGCATAAAAATACTCTCAAAATTATTACATTGTCTCAATAAACTTCTTATTCTCTTAAAAGCTGGTTCTATTTAAAAGTAAAAGATTCAACTAAAGTTTGTAAATATTACATTCCCATGTTACTGTTCTCTTTCAAATGTTGGCCTATTGTATTCCTCTAAGAAATAGTGTGTCTTCCTGCATAATATTGCATTCACCATGAATAAACCCTCATCTCATAAAAGTAGGTCTGTTGCATTACATTTTCTTTAAAAAATTCCCTCAAAGTATTATGATCTTGCAAGAAATGTTGTTTTTTTCTTAAAAGTTAGGCTTATTACATTCTTTCACAATAGTAGGTCTAGTGGATTCCCCTGAGAAACTCTCACAAAACATCTGCATTCTCAATCAAAAGTATTGTTCCTCAGAGAATCTGAGTATTCATCTGCAAAAGCCTTAAAACATTGTTATTCTTCTTGTTTTTTTATTAACACTATTACCTTGTCTCTTTGGGGGCCCTGAATGAACGTAAACTCATTACAATTATCTCAATTATTTGTGGACAATTGATGTAAATATGGGCAACGCAGTGGTTCAGTGGTTAGCACTGTCACCTCACCGCAAGAAGGTCGCTGGTTCGATGACCTGTTGTCAGGTGTCAGTTTGCATGTTCATCTTGTGTTTGCGTGGGTTTTCTCCAGGTGCTCCGATTTCCCCCACAGTCCGAAGACATGTGCTATAGATGAATTGAATGAACTAAATTGGCCATAGTGCATGAGTGTGAATGAGTGTGTATAGTTGTTTCCCAGTACTGGGTTGCAGCTGCAAGAGCATCCGCTGTGTAAAATATATACTGAATAAGTTGGCGGTTCAGTCCACTGTGGCAACCCCTGATGAATAAACAGACTAAGCAAAGGAAAATGAATGGGGCAATTATTGACAGTTCATTCATTCATTCTTTTTCTTTTAGCTTTAGTCCCTTTATCAATCAGGGGTTGCCACTCGCCACAAAGAAACGAACTGCTAACTTATCCAACATGTTTTACACAGAGGATGCCCTTCCAGCTGCAACCCAGTACTTGTAAACGTCATACTGGGAAACAACATACACACTCATACACTTCGGCCAATTTAGTTTAATCAATTCACCTATAGTGTATGTCTTTGGACTGTGGGGAAACCGGAGCACCTGGAGAAAACCCACGCCAACATGGGGAGAACATGCAAACTCTACAAAGAAATGCCATCTGATCGAGCCCGGGACTCAAACCAGCAAACGTCTTGCTGTGAGGTGACATTGCTAACCACTAAGTCACCATGTCACCCTAAATGCAGTTAAATTGATGCATTTTAAATGTCCTAATTTGTTCTGGGGCAGGCTTGTATAATTACTTCTATCTGACACCAGCTAAATTTCATTTTAATCTGTCAATAATAGGTTTGTATCTTTGTCTTTGCCAAGGCATTGGTTTTGTCATCCTAGAGTATGATTCAATGAGAGGATATAAAAAATAAATAAACACTGCCAATTCAACATAATTAATGATTATGAATGTACAGAATTTCATATATAGGCCTATGTAAAACAATATTAAGATAACTTCTCTTACCTTTGCACGAGTGCAGTAGGCCTGCCAATTGAGTTCAGCATCAGGTAGAACACTGAGTGCCATGTTACAGATTCCTGTGGCCATTTCCAGTTTGCCTGACAGGAAGAACACATTGGCTAGCCTGTTGAGTATGAGTGCATCATCCGTTGCAAGCTTAATGGCCTGTGGAAGTCAGCAGAGAGAACCAGTCTAAGCATGCAAAGGCTTTTACAATGCATTACTACTCATATAGTCACAGGATTATTAACCTTTAATTTATCAGCTTATGTGTAATCACATCAAGCTTAAGCCTACACACATCTTTATAACACCTATGTCAAGAAACAACAAAAGTTACGCATCACACCCAATCATGTTGTGGATACAGAACAAATGTGGGCAGATAACCGTAATGCTGGAATCTGATCTATTAATGTGACCACAAACAGACTAAATTTGTTCCTAGGCTGACATACAGTACCGATCCGTAGCACGTCAGAGGGTCTGATCCAGAGTATCCACAGTCATGGACAGACATTGGCACAGTGGAAAACTCCTCCGTTCGCTCCAGCATGAGACCAATATAACACCAGGCCAGGGCTAGAAGGTAAAGAAGAGATGCAAAGTGAGACATTGGCTTTTATAGAGTTGGCTTAGAAAAGCCTACAGTGAACAAAGTTTGGAGACTACAAAAAAAATACATCCGGGCTTGTGGGATCACAAACACTTCAGGTTACGTGCAGCAAAGGATCGTTTTTATGAATTATAAAAAATATATAGCTAGCATTTGACAAAGAACAGCTTCTCAAATAACGAACTTGCTAAAGATATAAGAATGTTTCATATTACTTACACATGCTTATTCTGAATTTATATGAAAGACACTAGCTAGATTTTATTTTAGAGAGCTGGTGTGAGGTTCAGCTGTGTCCTATGTGTTATTTTCTGTCTGATTCAGGCACAAACTGATACGGCTAACAGCTACTCTGACTAATAGTGTTTACACAGTGCAAAAGCAAGTGCTTGTGGGAGCGTGATGCTTTTTCTGGTAAAGTGGAGCCGATGCGCGAATCACAGCACATTATTTTATCTGAGCAATCAGAGCCTCTTGGGGGCGGGTCTTTGAAAGGAACTAGGAAATATGACACTTATTTTCATGTTAGCTGAGTAGCTATATATAATCAAAGTAAGATATATGAAAAAAAATAACGTGAGTATTTTTTACTAATGAAGCATGAGCACACATTGCTTTGGATCTTATAAACACAACCAAGCCTTAAAGGTGCAGTAGGTGATCTGCCAAAATGCTAACCGGTTAGCATAATATCTTTGAAACACAGTCTCAACCCTACACAACCCACTATTTTATGTTCAGTTTTTTTCAATTCAGCTTTATTTGTATAGCGCTTTTACAATGTAGATTGTGTCAAAGCAGCTTCACATAAATGTTCATAGTAACTGGATCAGGGTAGTTTAGTTTTAAGTGTTTAAGTTCAGTTCAGTTTAGCTCAGTTCAGTGTGGTTTAAAATCATTACTGAGAGTCCAAACACTGAAGAGCAAATTCATCGATGCGTAGCTCTACCGATCCTGAACCATGCAAGCCAGTGGCAACAGCAGAGAGGAAATAAAAAATATAATTTGCAAGTTAGAAATGGGTTGGCCGGCGACGTGCAGCAGTTACACTTATTACTAAGCCATACCTACGTACTATTTCAGACTGAATATTCAGAGTATTGTTAAACAATAAAGGGAGCACATCAGATGTTGTCATTGTTCAAAAATGAACCAATGTGAATACAAAAGCAACTTCACCTCGGTAAAGCAGGCTAGGCAGAATATCGCTATTTACTAATGTTTTAATGTTAAATTAAATAAATATCGACATTATCGATGCTGTAAAAGGTACCTTATGAAACTGAAAACAGTCACATCAATATTTCACCGTATATTTTGATTCTGCATTTGATTTTACTGATGTGATCTTGTGTGCACGAACGCGTGGCATGCATTAACGCGTGCACATCATAATGGCGGATCTGCGTGAACAGAGATGTGCAGATGCACAAATCTACATTTGCTGACAGACAGTTTAGGCTACTTATTGGAGTTATAGGAGATGTCGGCCTGACAATATTTAATTAGAGAACATTTTTTCATTTTATTCCTTACCCAGAATGTAAAAATACATAAAAACACATTTAGATCATTTACTTTAATCATTACCATTGGAATTTGAAGAGACGTTCAACCAGCACAACCTATCACCTACACAATCACCTACTGCACCTTAAAAAAACTCTGGACCCCCTCTTTAATTATGTATGAGATGAATCACCTTTCTGATGATTACCATGTAGGTTTTGCACACCATATTGAATGGTCCAACCAAAGTACTCAAAACAGGCCTCTCAGGAGACTTTTCATGATTTGTTGCACTACATGTTGATAAATGACATAGAAGCGTATTACAAGAAACAGCTTTTTTCAATGTACACTCTTCAATTCTTCAAAGCTCTCACTCTGGTAAATTGACAAGGAATTTATAATGAACACAGCTCTCGTCTTAATGATTTCTTGACATTTGAAATCTTTTAGAAGGCGATAAGAGGTCATAAAAGAGCCAAGCATGACAAGTGGCAATATAAAACCGGAAAGGCTGGTCTGTGAAACTTTTCACTCCACCGTTTATGTAGAGGTGTATAAAGGACAGGGCCAGATCCCTCAGGCCTCTAACTGTCAGGGCCCTCAAGGTGAGAGAAAATTAAATGTAACATTTATAGACAGACTAAAAGCACTTGAAGGTGTGGCAGTGAATCCCGTCAATGTAAAATCGACCAAAAAATATGTACTTGTAGTGTTCAACATCTTAATATTGTCTGGGCTTATTTATTATTATTAGTTTGTGACCACATTGTACAATTGTTTTTCCCTCCATTTAGTTAAATTGTGGTCATGATTTAATACTTAAAAATAAAAAAAATAAATACATTTATTACAACATGGCCACCATTGCCTAAACTGAGGGAATGAATTAATGATCTAGGAACGATTTACTAATCTAAATAATGGAACAAATTTCCACAACATCAATATTTTTCTGCATGTTATGTGCAAAGCTCTATTCCATTATATGTAGAATGAATTGAATATTTTCAAACCTTAAATATTGCATTTGGAACTTTACATTTAATAACATTACAACTCTCTACTACGGCTCTGACGATCATTATCAGTCCCTGATTATCGTCTCACCTACAGTATTAACATGGACACTCCTATTGTTTAGTAAATTATATCTAGTGTATGAAAATTACCTTTGAGATGCGTGTTCTCAGATTTTAGAGTCTCAGTGAGAAGCTTGAGACCCTTGTTGAAATAGTTCACTCTTGTGAAGTCAATGTCATTTGAATCCCGTACAATTCCATCTAACCTATAAAAACAAGTCAATAATAGTAAAGATCAGCTTAATAATGTTTCAGTTCAAGAAATGGAATGACAGAGATTCCTTAAATGCCTCATATGTTGTCATGTTTGATATCTTAAAAATGAAGGAACATGTAGGGGGAAAAATACTTATGTAAATACCTTATGTAAATTGTTGCCATTTTGAAATACCAATTTCTTTTTTCCTCCATCGGTATCTGTAAGAAATTAAAGAACAAGAAAGTTACTGACACTAGTTGGCAGTTTCCTTATTGGTTTCTTTAGTGTTTTCCCTGTGTTGTAAGCTACAACTCATTGTAGTAAGCAAATTTCACAGCAAATAAAAAATGTTGCAGAAATACTTGTGCTTTTAAATTCAGAGTTCAAATGTATTGTTTTATTCCTCTCAAACTTTACAAGAACATAAAAAATAGTACCCCTTGTGGCATTGTCAGGGTCAAAAAGTTTAATATATCAGATTATACAGTGTTTCTCAACCATGCTCCTGGAGGGCCACCAGCTCAGCACATTATCCATGTCTCCTTAACAAAACACTTTTTTTTTTAAGACAATCCAAAGTTGATTCTAAAATACTGCATTAACTGGCTCCACAAAAATGTAATGATATGTTCATTATTTAATAAATTCTATTGTTAACTACTCTCTAACAACATTACTATGTCTGCCTGTACAGTACATATGAAATTGTGATATTCTTACCAGCTCATCTCCATAATCGAGCGCACGGTTGTATAACATCAGCGCCGCTGTCAGCCTCTCGCGTAAATCTTCATCCCTCTCCAATTCCACATCATGAGGATGTGCGTACGCTTGTTCAGCCAAGCACCGGGCTGCCCTAAGCCTGCAGTCTTTTTGGTTTTCTCCCATCTCTCGCCCCATGAGGCCAGCCACACGCTCCACACACCCCCCCTCATCCACCTCACGGCCCAGGCGTTCATAAACATATCCCAGGTTGGCCCAGGCGTTGAGGTTTTCTGGATCCTCTTGGCAGATGCTACGAAATGTTTCTTCTGCTGTCTCCAGTTCGTCCATATGAAACGCCAGCACACCCAGTATATTACGCACAGCATATTGCAATCGTCCCGTCTCAGCTTCCAGCTCAGCCCTTAGGCTCTCCCGCTTCATCTGGGTGTCCCGGAGCCGAAGGGTAGCTGATCCATTGGGTTCGCCGTTCAGATTTAACTCCAGATGAAAGTGGCCGGGAATATAGGCCATTCCTTCAATTAGAGACTCAATGTCTTCTTCTATGCTGTCCTCCATTGTGTCCTGCACACGTACTGATAATGTCTGAGGAAGACAGAGGAACTTATAAGCTGGACAGGAAATACAGGTTTAAAGAGGAGGAGATATAAGACATGAGTGCATCTTGAACGTGCGCTTTTTTGCTTCCTGTAACAGGTTACTCAACCTCTACACTGTGGTTTTTACATTAACTATTTTAATTTGAAAGGAAAACATGGGCGTCTGCTTTGAGAACTGTGTAAAGAATGAGTCTTGCTTTCTGAATTTAAGTGACACACCTTGGGGTCATGTAGGGTTTGTCATTTACCATGATTTAGAAAACAGAGAGCCAAGAGGTGCTGGAGTTGTGACGTCAGAACCTGGAAGACTAGTTCATCACTGCTTCCTGCAACATTTTTCTATGGGCTTTTATAATGGGGTTTATCATTTTTAAGTTCTTTACAGATGATCCAGAAAGCTGCAGCTCGTCTGGTCTTCAATGAGCCCATGTAACTCACCTCTCTTTATCTTTCTGCATTGGTTACTGGTCAAGGCTTGTATCAATTTCAAATCCTTGATGCTTGCTTACATAGGTCTACATCCTCTCCAGAAGCCTCTGGTCAGAAAGTGAGCACCGCCTTGTGATACCATTGCATAGAGGCTATGGGCGAAACCCAATTCTATTTTTGTATCCCTACCCTTGAAACAGAGTCTGATGGGTGATGTCTTCAAATCTTACCCCTAAGAAATGGGACAGCACTACAACACCTGCACACGTCATCATATGTCAGCACGAGCTCTTTATATGAGATCGATGATGGTGACTGCTGTAGTTATTCCAGTTACAGTATTTTTTGGTATTTATCTTCAGGAAAACATTGAAGGCAACAGTATCATGTTATCATGACGATTTAATGCGGCAATAATTAACATTATACCAGACACTGTAAAAAGGTTATTCCCAGGTTTTTTTTATTATAGTTTTTGCAGACAAAAACAAGGAACCGACAGACAAACCCATCATAAAACAATAATCTGTGCAAAATGTAAAATAAAGCATGAAGTAAGGGAAAATGGTAACATATAAGACATGTATGACCTACAAAAACACACAGCAAAAAAACGTACAAATCTTCGGAAATTAAACACTATTGGTCTTCATGGAGTTTTAGAAAAAAAAGACTGGAAACCACATTTGATAAAATTTTTCCAGAAGTGGTATACCTAGTTTTTTCCAAATGTTAAGTGGAGGTGAGTCCAAGAAGCCAGTCAGGAAAAAAGGGGCCTAGCATTTTACTTCCAGAAACAAAGAATAACTTTTTTTTTTACTGAACGGGTAACTGTACATTTCGGTTGAGAGTCTCCAGAAAATCTGACGAGCCAAAAATTGCTATTCTGTCAGGGAGTAAAATACAATCGTAAACTTTAGCAAAGAACTGAAATATTTCTAACCAAAAATTCTGAATTTGAACACGGGAACAAAAAAAGTTGTGCTAAGGTACGTTCAGCAGCTTTACATTTGTCACATTGGGTAGCTGGGTAGCTTCTTCTATGTAGTAAGCATAGACAATATGTTGAGTTTTTTTCAGTGATGTAAACTGCACACACTCACTCCCTTAAAAATGGTTTTGTAGTTACTTATTAAAGCCAATCCCACTGCACCAAGAGATGCTGACAAACATGGATGATCATCAGATTACAGCATGTCACTTCTCAGGCATTCGACCATTAGCAGCAATTCAGCATGGTCATTTAGTGAAAACAAGTTCTGACAGACACCAGCAGAAATAACACGATAATCCAACAAAATCCAATGAAGCTGTTTCTTGGCATATAATGTAATGTGAGTTGGCCTTTATAAAATATGTTGTTAAAATGAAACATTACTGTGTGTAGAATTTTTGTAATGATACTACATAAAAGTATATTCAGGCTATGTTTACCACAGTTGTTTTATAAATTTACTTATAAATTGAAAACCCTCACAGAATTTCATAGGCAAGTCTTGAGGCTCTTCCAGTTTTAGCCATTTATGCTAAAAAAAGACATCAAAAACTGCTGTCTGTATGTAAGGTAACATTCTAAATGCCTTTTGTTTTGCTATTTCTAAATCTCAGCTTCCTGGTCCGTGTGTGAGTAAAGTTGTTCTTAGAAATGTCACCAGAGTTGAGGAAGTACATGTGGTCTGATAAACTTTTTGATAAAAATGTGCTTTATTGTTATTGTTTGTGTGCTAGCAACAATAATACTGTACAAGTACTAATATGTCAACCCTTAATGTCATTAGATAGTTTAAAAAACATAAATTGTTTACTCAACCTTTGTGCCTACCTTTTGTCTGTGGATTTAGTAATGTTGACCAGGACTGTTTCCATATTTGAAAAATAAATTTAACCAAAGTATACAATGTATATCTCAGTAAATACAATACGCCAGTTCAATGGAAAACAGGTTACTCATAAACGGTATTATCTTGTCAACAAAAATGCTGAATCAGCCAATCACTGTCAGCAACTTAATCTATTAGGCAAGTACTGTAGACATCAAGGTGATCTGTTGAACTTAAACTTGCTGACCTACTGGAATTTTCATACACAACCATCTCTAAGGTTTGTTAAGTATCATCATCTGAGAGAAAGAGAGAGAGAGTGTGAGAGAGAGAGAGAGAGAGAGAGAGAGAGAGAATATATACAGTGAGCATTAATTTTGTGGGTGAATGTTTTGTTTATGCCAGAGGTCAGAGAATGATGAAAAGGCAACAAACAACACAACAAAACCAGAAGCAGATGAGCTACAGCAGCAGAAAATTATAGCCATTTCAGTCCCGTTAAATATACTTTTTTAAATTACTTAAAATCAGTGCTTAATTTGAGCCAGATCTTGCAAGATCCTGTTTGGAAGTGTGTTTGTGTGTGTGTGTGTGTGCGTGCGTGCTAGTGTGTGTGTGTGAGTGAATGTGAATGAGTGTGAGTGAAAACTGTGTGGATTGTGAGTGAAAACTGTGTGGATTGTGAGTGCGCGCTAGTCATAGTCAGCAGAAACAATATCCAAAGATGCTGTTTTAAATTGTAAAAAAAAAATTATAATAATAATAAATCTGTTTTTGAAATAAATGAAGACAGCAAAAGTCAATGATTCATTTGGATTATTTAGCCTGACATGTTTATTGTTACTAAATATTTTAAATGTTTCTCAAAATAAAATATATTGTGTTTTAAAGAAAAAAAATGTTTTAGTTTTTATTACCCAGACATTTAAAAAAATATACCTTTTAGAGCATTAATCACAATACTGTGAATCTTTGATATTTTTATCCAAGGTTATCATACCGCCAGAATCTTATACCGACCCATGCCTAGTGCGCGCACACACATACACATGACAGTAGTTACCATACGCAAGTTAAAGCAAAAGTCTATTGGCCATCAAGGATAATTTCAGCCGATCAGTTTTCTTATTTTTACAATCACTCTTATTAGTTGGTGACTGTTTCGCGTGCAGTGAAAATAAATAACAGCATAGTGGCCTAACGTTTATCTAAAGAATATTTGTATGTTCAAAATGGCAAAGAGGCAGTCACGCATATTTAAATTTTTTTAAAACCACAGGTAAATCTGATAATGAGCCTGATCAAAAGACTGAGAAGATGAAACTGCACCCATGGATCAGGATAGCAAGAGGCAGAAGCAAAGCAATCTCAAGTCAGCCAGAAAACATGACAGAAGATGTATCTGTGGGCTCTTCTTAGTATCTGAGTGAGTCATGATGCAACCCATCACTGGGAAACATCCATACATACTCACACTCATACACTACGGACAATTTAGCCTACCAAATTCAACTGTAACGCATGTCTCTGGACTGTGGGGAAAACCGGAGCACCCGGAGGAAACCCACGCGAACGCAGGGAGAACATGCAAAAAAAAAGGGAGAAATGCCAACTGACCCAGTTGAGGCTCGAACCAGCGACCTTGTTGCTGTGAGGCAACAGCACTACCTACTGCGCCACTGCATCACCCGTTACGTTTTTATTATCCATAATTGACCTATATGGCACAAAATAATTAAATACAGTTCAGAAATGTGATGCTGTTTTTTTTTTTTTGCGCTGCTTTTTTGGACCATTTAATCATGTCATGTTCTGGGAAAACTGAAATTGTTTGGTGGACGTTGGTCACGGTAACTTTTATTTCCTGGTTTTGTTCCGGGAGTTATTCATTTACAAATTAAGCACTGCCTTAAATGAATGAAAAAGATTACTCACTCTCAAATGATTCGAAATGTTAGAGTTTTTTTCTGTTAAGCACAAAAAGAAAACATTCTAGAATTCTTGAAACCGTTAACAATTGACTTCCATAGTTAGAACAACAATACTATGGAAGTATCTATGTTAGCGTTCAACAGAAGATAGAATCTCAAACAGGTTTGTGACAGGGGAAGAGTGAGTAAATGATGACAGAATTTTCAGTTTTGGGTGAACAATCCCGTAAGTCTTAGAATTAAGGTTACAATTTGACTAGGCTCACCAAGATGCAATAAAGTTTATCTAATCTAAAAAGTCTTGATTTCTGTTTATATAGGGATGTTTGAATCACAATTTGGCAATTTGTCTTTCTTGCATGTAATATCTTCTTTGCATTCTTTGGGCGTCTTTCAGCATTGTTTAAACATACATTAAATATTCTTGCTAACCTTGTCTATCCTATAATGTACAGTTTACCCATGTTCAGGATAACATACCATCTTAAAACACTTAAAATAATTCAAAGAGATTTAGTTTATTAATTTTTTTTTTTTTTGTTAGAAATGTCAACAATAGTCAAATACCCCTTCATGGCCACCAGATCTTGATCCAATACAGCACCTTTGAGTATGCTGCAACAAATCTGCAACAACTACAGTATGTGATATCAGCATGTACTAAAATCATTAAGTATTGTTTCCTGTGTTTAAATCTATGGCATGAAAAACAAAGGCAAAATAGGATCCAACCCATACTAGCAAGGATGTACCTATAAAATGGCAATTGAGTGTATATAGCAGCTAAAATACACAGGTAGATACACTCACCGGCCACTTTATTAGTTATGCCTTACTAATACCAGGTTGGACCCACTTTTGCCTTTAGAACTGCTTTAATCCTTTGTGTCATAGATTCAACAAGGTACTGGAAATATTCCTCAGATATTTTGGTCCATATTGCCATGATAGCATCACACAGTTGCTGTTGATTTGTCAGCTGCACATCCATGATGTGAATTTCCCAATTCACCACATCCCGAAGGTGCTCTATTGGATTGAGATCTGGTGACTGTGGAAGCCAATTGAGTACAGTGAACTCATTGTCATGTTAAAGAGACCGGTCTGAGATTATTCTCGCTTTATGCATTATCCTGCTGGAAGTAGCCATCATAAGATGGGTACACTGTGGTCATGAAAGGATGGACATGGTCAGCAACAATACTCAAGTAGGTTGTGGTGTTGACACAATGCTCAATTGGTACTAATGGGTCGAAAGTGTGCCAAGAAAATATTTTGGACCATTCTCTGTAAACCCTAGAGATGGTTGTGCGTGAAAATCCCAATAGTTCAGTATTTTCTGAAATACTCAGACCAGCCCATCTGGCACCAACAACCATGCCACGTTCAAAGCCACTTAAATCACCTTTCTTCCACTTTCTGATGTTTGGTTTGAACTGCAGCAGATCGCCTTCATGTCTACATGCCTAAATGCATTTAGTTGCTGCCATGTCATTGGCTGATTAGAAATTTGCATTAACGAGTAATTGGACAGATGTACTTATTAAAGTGGCCGGTGAGTGTATATGAAACATTTAACTTAACAATTGTCAGCAAGAAGCATGGTTCTGTACGTTTTTCCAGCCCAGTATGCAGTTTTCACTTTAGGTGCAATTTCAATTATGTCCACTAGAATGAATCCTTTCACTAAATATAAAGAACAAGCAAAGGGCACAACAGCAAAACACACAATTGGAACTGTGGGGGTCTTTCTTAATCATGGAAAAAATATGCATTGCTCAAGTATATTAGGAATCCATATGCATATGAATCTTATTTCATTTCAATATTTTGGTCCATATCATGGAAACAGTACTTTCAACATGCAGTCAATGCTGTATATTAAGCTCCCGTTTCGAAGTATGTGAATGAACAGTGACGTTTTTATGATTACCTCAGACTGGAATTATGGGTCAGTTGTGTGGGGTTGTTCGCCACACGCTCCTGTTCTGTTTTTGTCCATAATGACTATAGCAGAGGGGAGATCCTCATTGTGTATCCAGCAGATGTATAATGATGTCAACTTGACTTAGTCTGAGACCTAAAAGAGCGATAGTTTGACAGAGAGCAGAATAAGGACTCTATGACTCGTCTAGGTTTGTATTTTGTTAATATATGTAACTACATACAAAACTGATCATGCATATCAGGCATGTGGTACAGACCACAACTTTTTTCATTAGTATGGAAACATGGTGTCAACTCACCATTTACTGACTAAAGTTGGCAAGCAATTACGAATAGGATTTTAGTGGAAACATATTAAATGTCAGACTAGGATGTGTTTAGCAGACAGTGGGGCTTGATATTCAACAGTTCCAGTCTGAATATAATTTTGTTTAAGGAATCATTCAACATACACATTATTTAATGTTTGTGCCTGGTTTTTACCTAAGAGTGGCACCGTCTCTAGTTTTAATGTGTTTACCAGTACACACATTTCATTATTAATACTTTTGCATATTCACTATCAAATATGCACAACTTCTTAAATATTGGTTAGAATTATGAAGTCATAAATACATTTTTATTTATTTAAAGGGAATTCTATCATTAAGTACTTTAAACTCAAGTTGTTCTGTAGTTTGCTGAACATAAAGGAAAATGTGCTGTTTTTACAATGCACTAATGTTATACAGTAATTACGAAAATTTGACTAATAAAAAGCGTTCATGTCCTCAAAAGACTTACATTAAGTTAAGTTCCAGCCCTTGAATCTGATTGATTGAGCATTTTGAAGCAGTAGTAAAACACACACCTGTGACTTCATCATATCAGTATTACTGTGTCACTGTACATCAAGTGTTGTTGTCATTCCCTATGTATTATACATTTCTTGCAAAATTCCTCTTTTTTTATTTCAAGAGAATGATCCTTGCTGTATTATCCATGCTTCACTCATCTAATTTAATAATCAAATTCCTTCATCTTACCCTATCAAAGAAAATCTTCCCATGCAGGAGTACAATAGGAATATTAAATGTTTTCTGTTTCTGTACAGTAGTGTCTCTTAATCAACACTTCTAATAAATCTACTTGCCTTTTTATTTCAAACTGTTATATTTGCATGTTAACTATAGCATTTATAGACACTATCAGGGGCAGATTCAACCAATAAGTGAGGTAAGCGGCCGCTTAGAGCATCAGGAAATCTGGGGGGCCCCAATAAATATCTAGAAGTAAATTATACCTATAAACTATATATAACATCGTTTTCTGCCATATTTTATATGGTGAGAGTTAAACAAATACAATTTTAACGTAATTAAACATTATTTAATACAATCTAAAATATTACTATTATAATAATGTAATGTTATGTAATAATAATATTGCAAAATAAAATATCCATCATGGAGCAGTCCAGCAGTCAAATTTATTAAAAAATATATATTATTTTTTGTTGTAAATTCATTTCAAGAAAACAAATAATTTTAAATGTACAGATTGCATTAATTTAATATGTTGAAAAGAAGATTGAGTGATATAAAAAAACAGCAATATAAATAAATATTAAATGAAAGTTGAAAGAGTCACTGGGTCGCTGGTTCGAGCCTCGGCTCAGTTGGCGTTTCTGTTTGGAGTTTGCAAGTTCTCCCTGCGTTTACGTGGGTTTCCTTTGGGTGCTCCGGTTTCCCCCACAGTCCAAAGACATGTGGTACCGGTTGATTGGGTAGGCTAAATTGTCCGTAGTGTATGAGTGTCTGTGTGAATGTGTGTGAATTTTTCCCAGGGATGGGTTGTGGCTGGAAGGGCATCCACTGCGTAAAAACTTGCTGGATAAGTTGGCGGTTCGTTCCGCTGTGGCGACCCCAAATTAATAAAGGGACTAAGCCGACAAGAAAAATGATAAAGTTGAAATAATGCATTTCAGGACTTGGGCCCTATGGCTGGAATTGCTCAGGGCACTGTTTATATTGTAGTGGAAGCAAGCCTTTTAATAAATTACATAAATGTAGCATATTGAGAATTTTATTTTAGTATTGTTATACAGCTATAGGGGTTAATTATGATAAATTGTGATAGCATATACAACATGTACAGTTGAAGTCAAAATTATTATCCCCCCTTTAAATTTTTTTCTTTTTTTTTTTAATAGCTATTTCCGAAATTATGTTTACCAGAGCACGGACATTTTCACAGTTTTTCTGATAATGTTTTTTCTTCTGAAGAAAGTCTTATTTGTTTTATTTTGGGTAGAATAAAAGCAGTTTTTAATTTTTTAAACATCATTTTAAGGACAAAATTATTAGCCCCTTTAAGCTATTTTTTTCCGAGAGTCTAGCCTACAGAATAAAACATCATTATAGAATAACTTGCCTAATTACCCTATCCTGCCTAGTTAACCTCAGGGGCGGACTGGGACAAAAATTCAGCCCTGGCACTGTAGCCACACCAGCCCACATTACCACACTGAAACAGCCCCACTCACAGACACGCACATTCACTATTTAGTCTACAGATGGTGAAATAATATGACATTCTTGATTATGTATGGGTAACCTCGGATTGGGTCGGCCCATCTTGAAACCAGGAGGCAGTTGCAGATAGGGCCAAATACTTAACATTTATTATTATTATCATCATCATAATATCACATCTAGCAAGAGATAAAAGCTGTCTGCACTTAAAAACAATACATATTTTTTTTAAAAACTGACCGGCCCACATTTAAATATTTGGTCCGGCCCTTCTGGCTTTTGCCAGAATTGCCAGATGGCCAGTCCGGCCTTGGTTAACCTAATTAACCTAGTTAAGCCTTTAAATGTCACTTTAAGATAGAAGTGTCTTGAAAAATATCTAGTAAAATATTATTTACTGTCATCATAGCAAAGATAAAATAAGTCAGTTATTAGAGATGAGTTATTAAAACTATTATGTTTAGAAATGTGTTTCTGTGAAATTGTAATCTTTTATCAGTTAAAGAGAAATTGGGAGAGAGAAAAAACAGCGGGGCGAATAATTCTGGGGGGCTAATAATTCTTACTTCAACTGTATGTTGTTCTGGAAGTGGGCAGTAATCTCTACGCTCGCGTTTACTCGGTTATTTACGGTATTCAACTTATGCGCTCTGCTCGCTGTCATGCAGGTGGAATTCAGTCAGTTCAGCCGTATGATTTAAGCTTCACGTCAGTACAGCCGTTCAGCTTGAGCTCCGATCCAACCCTGACTTTATATCCGTGCACAACATCCACACTTCACCTCAGCACAGCGATGGCATCATCCGCACAGAGAGTATAGAGCACGTAGATCTGAAGCGTTTTAACGACGATCTTCCGAGAGACGCGCATCATGCTCAGGTGGTCCGTGTTTCCCACCGAAGAAGGAGATCATTCAGACTGCGTTCGGGAGAGAAAACAGTCGTGTGAATGTTCAGAATATTAATCAGGTATGTTAATGTATTGTATGATGATATGCAGCTCGTTTAGCGCATGTGGTGTGTTTTTCCGATCATATGCGGATTTTAGCTGTAACGCAGAATGACTGTCATGTGTTTACAAATAACCACAATGTTACATAAGACTTTTGAGGCATAATAAAGCAAATATCAGCGGGGCGCAAAATAAAACTTTCAATAATTAAAATTTTCCTTCTTTTTTACTCATTTTCTTCTTTTCTTTTATGTAGACCCGTTTTCTAATCATGGAGGAGAGTAATAATACCTGTGAGTCAGTTCCTGATTTGAAAGATCTGGAGTTGAAAGTGGGTAGAAAGACCCCAGAAGGGCTCCTGAAGTGGATGAGAGAAGAGCACAAGATGATCTCTCATCATCAGACTGACAATAATGAGACTGAGAAGAAAGGTCTCGATGGGAAGATACGAAAACTTAAAATGGAGATGGTAAGAGTCAAATCTATGCATTGCACATTAAAAACGATTATTCGAGCATAAATTAAATTTCATAATTTTAAACACAATTTCAATAAATTCACATTTAGACATCTAAGTGCAGATTAATTGCATTAAATGAAAGAAAGCTGTGACAACTAAAGGGCTTTTTAGTTAACCCTAAACTCTAGGCAAACCTAAGTTATCTTGCTTCAGTCTCAAAATTTACCCAGGGTTAACAATTAATCTTTGGTGGCAAATTTATGTTCTAAGTTTTAGTTTTAACACTGTAGGCCTACATTCCTAAACCTGGGGTTAACTTTGTGGTATCAGTGTTATTGATTGGATTAATGCATCATGAGTCTCATTACTGTTCATAATGTAAAGGCTCTTGTGTTTGTATTTTACATACATAAAAATATAGATATATTTAAACTTGTTGAAACTATTTATTTAAAGTGAACTGAAACAACACAATTAATGATAACTTAATTGTTTTATGTTCAATCCACATAAATTTGTTAAAAGTGTTAAGTTACCTTAATCAATTTGTGTTGGGACAACATGAATGAATTGTGTGGAACCCTGAATTTCTTTACAGCGTATACTGTTCTTTCTCCTGAAAAGGTTTTCCAACACCATTCATTAGTTCTTCTCTTCAAATTCTCCACAACATGGTTTCATAACCCTTTATAAAAACAGTGCTTACACTGACCATGTGAAATGTTGGTTCCTGAGGTCAAAAGAATGTTTAGAATAACATTAACCTGAGGTTAACCAAATGGTGAAAAGCCCTAAAGAGTCAAAAAAACATCTTGATAATATGTGCTAGTTTTATCAATGTGTATAGATGACAATATAGAAGAAGGAGTGCTACTTGGCGAGTTTGTTTTCTCATCTTTATAAAGCACAAAGCTTCCCTGAAACTTCCAGCGTAAAGCTTTTATATACTCACTACGAATGAATATGAATCTTTTCATAACACAGCTCCAATGCAAGAGGCTGCCTGCAGCATGTTGTTGATGTTTTCTGATTTTGAAGGGTCCCAACCCACATTCCACAAACCAAATCAACCAGAAGCAAAAGAATTTCTTGCAGCATTGCCAAACAGTAAATAGCGTATAGAAACATGATCCTAAAACTCATAAAAGGCAATAATGTTTTTAATGAAGGGATGAATTGCTTGCAACCGCATTTCTGTGATGATTCTGAAGTGAAGGAGGGGTTTGTGTTGATTTGCTGCTGTTTTCAGTCTTCATGCTTCATACACTTTGAAAAATGCTGGATTACTTCAACCCAAATTTGGGTAAAATATAGACAAACCCAACCAACTAAAATTTTCAATTACAGTACATTTGTAATCCAATTTTGAAGTAACTGTTGGGGTTGTCCATATTTTATCCAAATTTGGGATGAAGCATTTTTTAGTGTACTGTAACTTCAAGCTCTTGGGGCAGATACGCCCTGGCTTGTATAAAGAATTGTTGTAGTTAGGGAAATGAGCTTGTTTCCCTGTGGAATGCAGAGCCATTAAGCAAATGGACCCTGATGTTGTTGCTATGGTGCTCTTTACTGAGTGGGAGACTTGGTTAAAGGCCCCAAAGCTGTCATGAATTATGCTACAGCCAGTTGCGTTTCTGATTTTTGGAAGGCAGCGTTATTAATTTGGCATCATGATGATTGTTGCGGATACCTCTGTGATTAAGACATCTCAACATGTCAGCAATTTATGAGCCAGGATCTGTGTAGACAAGCCTCTGTGGTTCAGATAAAAACAAGTGAAGGGTGCTAAAAGCAGTGTCTTGACAGATTTCTCTAATTATGGATCATGTATTTATTACATAACAAAACTTGTAATGGTACTCTTTGTGTAAAACATCTAGAAAAAAAATTACACAAGGCCTACGGGTCTAATACACCAGTGTAATTGCACAGTAAGTTTTGATTAAATGAATGTAGCCTTCAGTCAACAGAGACTTTCGAAAACATTCAAACATTTCAGACCCAACATTCTTGAACACTATAGTGTAGTGGTTATCAAACTTTTTTCACCAAGTTCCACTTCAGAAAAAAAAAAAATTGTCTATAAAGTACAGTAGCATTAGGCCTAAATAAGCAGCTACAGCTCTTTCCAGTTCAAAAAATGTGGCAGATTAATTCTTCTTATTAATAATATTTATTATTGTCAGCCACCTTAAACATTGTAAATAGTTTGAACGTTAACACTGCACTGTGCTTACAGTTAAAAATAAATAAAACATCAACGTTTAAATTAAAATGTGCTTTTAAAAGGTAATAAAAATGGCTCTGTTCTTAAAAAGTAAAAAGAAAGCTGCTGTACTTAAATATAAAAGTATTATCATATAGCAGCTTATTCATCAAAAACCTGGAAATGTTCCTTGGACCTCATAAATTTAGGCTTTGTCATCATAATAATGTATAAACATTTTGATAAATTATAAATTTTTTAAATATACAAATAAATATAAAAAAATATATATTTAAATATAAATATATACATGCAACATATATCTGTGAAATCTAAACATTAACTTGTATTTTTTTTTAAATGAATTGGATTTACATACTTTAATGGGAAATTTGTCAGAAAAGCAAGTGATTGAAACATACCTGTCAACATTGGGATAAAAATTTGGGATAGGCCCCAACAACCATTACAAATATGAAGAGGAAGTTAGCTTCAAAGGATTGAACACATAAGAAACATTAGAAAATTTGAAGTAAATTAAAAGGTTTAGCCTATTAAAATCAATTTACTGATTGGTGTTATCGTACGCGTCAAAGGGTTAAAGGTGTGTTCATTTTTTTTACTTTAATTATTCAGAGATTCATTCGTGTATCACTAAAAGGAAGCCTGCATACCACAGTTTAAGAACTACTGCTAGACTACTGCTTAATTCCATTAATAGTCTAGTTTTAGCTATGTTATATGATTGTCACCTTGTAATTATAAGGTTCTATTTGCGTTCTGAATGATTTTGAGATATTGAGCTTTAAATTCTATATGGCAAACAGTATGTGTGTAACATTTGTTTTTGTTTTTTGTATAAAAAGTCTTAAAATGTAAACAATATATAAAAAACGTCACATAATGTCAATAAGTTGTCATTTAATAAGAATATGTCAGTAACTCAATTTTGACAAAAATGTCAGATAGAACCTTATAATTCTATGGTGACGTTATATACTGTTGTACTTTAGGTTGAAAAGTAAGCAATAATTTTAAATACACTCTGCAACTGAGTAGCCTACAGATAAAATTCCCGGTAGTAAAACACATGTTATGGTAAATGATAGCTTCCAGATTATTTCAAAACATAACAGAGTAGATTGAGTGTAAGACAACTGATTTGTTGTTTTACTTTCCTCTTGGTGCCATTTTAGGCCCCCTTTTCTGGTTTTGACATTCATTTTCAGTGATCCGATTACAAGTGGTCAGTCAAGACACATATTACCACCTGGTATTTACAAGCACTCAAAAATGCATCTCTTGTGACCAGTTGCTCTTCCCTCTTATTTCATCACACCTTACAACATATTCACAGGAGCGCTTAGTGCACAATACTATTGGGTGAACAAACCATTGTTAGTCAATGAGAATGCAGGAGAATGAAATGTTTCTGGATGTTACAACAATTTAGTTTTGGTATAACACAGCAATGTATGAATATCTTCATTCATTCATTCATTCATTCATTAATTTTCTTTTCGGCTTAGACTCTTTATTAATCTAGGTGTTGCCACAGCGGAATGAACCGCCAACTTATTCAGCACGTTTTGCGCAGCGGATGCCCTTCCAGCTGCATCCCATCCATGGGAAACATCCATACACACTCATACACTACGAACTATTTAGCCGACCCAATTTACCTGTACCGCATGTCTTTGCACTGTAGAGGAAACCGGAGCACCTGGACAAAACCCACGCTAACGCAGGGATTACTTACTTGTAAAGCTGATACTTTTGTGCTCAAATAGCACAAAAATAATGGCTTTATTCAACAGTTTCGTCTCCTCAGTGGCAGTATAGGGCATGCATACAAGCACTGATGTATATCTTGGACTCCTGTGTGTAACTTCCTCAGTTTGAAGCGAAGTAACAAATGCGGTTTCTCAATACCAAGAACGCAGAGAATGGACTTGCGTTCTTCTGGAGACCGGTCTTGCCTGGTGTCCTCGAAAGAACGAACTCTGAAGACCGCGAGAACAGAGAACGCGTCCTGTGAGGAATGAGATGCTGCGTTCTTCCTGATGGTCACGTGACCTTCACGAGTTTTAAATGGAAAAATTATTTAAACATTACAGCAATCATAAAACGATTTATTGTTTTTCCTCTTTTCAAAATACATACTATGCTTAAAAAATATTAGAAATATGTGTTGCACAATACAAATAAAACAGATTCTCAGAAACTCCTGAGTTAAATAAGTTATATCTCTGAACTTTTATAATAAATCTAAAAAAAATGCTGCACTTCCCACCTCGTCGCAATAACCTCAGGGACTTCTAGAGCGAGATCGGTGCTCAAGTCTGCATCGGTGCATCCTCCATATCAAAAACACATCCGGGAAGTTTCACGCGTCCTCTGTTCTTGCGGTCTTGAGTATTGGAACTTAACTTTGGCAGCTGATAATGACGTTACCCAAGAACACGAGGACGCAATACCGCTGAAGAACGCATATTGAGAAACAGCCAAAGTCTCTTTAAGGCAAATCATTTCACTTGGCGGACATCTTTGAAATGCTCCTCGGGCAGTATGGTCGGGTATTCTGTCTGAATGGGGAAACATCAAAATATCCAAAACTGTTTGCCAAGCTTACGATTACATTACATTTTTGGGACCGCCAATAAAATTCAACATCAAAAGTCTCTTAATATAACATAAACAAGCATACACACTATTCATTCACTCTCACACATTACAAAATAACTTTGGAAGTCATTTAAAAATAAAAATGCTTCATATTTATGTCACACCTGTCATGTGTTTG